CCATTAAAGGTAAAGTGGGTCATGAGGCATAGGTCCAGTAATTTCAGCATGTTTTCTGTGGAGATGGTGTTACTCCGCCAAGAAGGCCATCAATAAACATGTAGAATTAAACTCTACATACACACCGCTGCAAAAAAAACAGGAATGAGGTAATCAACTCCAACAGACCCAAGAATTTAAGTAACAGGTGAGAAAACACAACAACGCTTCATCAGAGGCTGCACTGATGATGTTACCCAGCAGGGTAATGAAACATCTGCAAACTAACGAACCAGCTTGGCGAACGAACCAACCATACATTCTTTCTTGTTAGTGACGATCATTGCCTGGTACTTGTGTGGCACGAATGTTACTTGCCATTTATCAGTCCAAGCAGGTCTTGCTGCATAAGAACATGGAATGCTTCATCACCTGAGGAATTGCAAATGGTCCTGAACATTGCTGTTCTATGTGGCACATTCTCACTTCTGACATCATGATGCAGGAAAGGTCATGGATGAAGCAGCCTAAGATGTTTGGGCCTAGGTCACAACTGAAGAACCTCTGCGGAAATGTCCGTTTGCTGAAACAACTGACCTTCAACAATGACAACCATTGAAGAAATCACTCTCACCTCATCTTTTTTGTCCATGTCCAGACCAAGGCTCGAAAGAGGTATTGTTTTCAAATTGTTCATGGGATGTGTATGTCGCTGGCTAGGCCAACATCTATTGCCCACCCACAATTTCACTGATGGAGGTGCTGGTAAGCTACCTTTTTGAGCCACTGCAGTGCTTGGACTAAAGCAGCACCTGCAGAATTTGGATACAGTGGCAGTGAAGGAACTTTTTGGATTGCAAACTGGAATGGAAGTCAGACACTGCTATATACTTAAAATACCAAGAGAACTTTGCAAATTGAACAACATCAAGTGGTACACATCTCTAGCTGCACAAGGCTCTGTTGCCTTTGGAGTAGTGAAATGATTATATTAATGAAACAGAGTGGCACCAGAAGCCTCGGGGTTTAGGAAAAATTGCCTGATGATAGCACTCCGATTGGTGAGCAATAGTTTGCTACACACTTGTGAGAGCAGTGGAGTCAGAAACATTCAGAGCTGGCAAACAGAAAATATCTCTATCCCTTCTCTTTACTTCAATGAAAAAGGCAAAAACAAGCTTAAAAGAAAGAAGTCTAATATGAAAAAAGACCTTAGTCCACCTGATCAACAATCGAATCTAAGAATGACAATTGCTCTGCAGACAACATTGTATCATCATTGCTAAACTGAGAAAAATAGCTCTCCAACTTGTGGCCTGATCTTTGATCTACAGAAATTTTTTACCCTGTCTGTATTTTACCAATCATAACATTTGTGGCAAACCAACTATTTTATTGGTGACCGAGACAGAGAGAGACAGCATGGTTTGAGAGGAGTGCAGATAGTCGCAGAGTAGTACATTAGTAATCCTTTCTTTATTCTCTGCCATTTGCTAAAGAATACATGCTGTTACAATAAATACTTATTTTCCTGTTGCTGAAACAAGGTGTGAATTGCTTTTATTCTGAATAGCAGCCAATTGGGAAAGTTGAACATCTCGATCATTTAATTGAGATTTACACATTTAAGTTGGCTTGTCAATAAGTGATGGCTTGATTATCGGCACACTCTTCTGAATTGGTGTGCAATTTGGAATAGAACCTGCAGGTGGCAATGTTCATCTGCAAGTACTGACCTTTTCCTTTTAATGTGTACAGGTTGTGGGTTTGGAAGGTGGGGTGAAAAAAGCCTTGGGGAGTTATATCAGCGTGTCTTGTAGATGGTACACACTGCAGCTACTATGTGGCATTGGTGAGGGGAGTAAATATGAAAGGTAGTGGATGCAGTGTCTAACAAGTGAGCTGCTTTGTCCTGCATGGTGTCAAGCCTCTTGAGTGCTGTTGGGGTCGCACTCATGCAGACATCACACTCCTGACTTGAGCCTTGTATATGGTGGACAGGCTCTGGGTAGTCAGGAGGTGAGTTACTCGCTACAGGATTCCTAACTTTGACCTTTTTTTTAGCCACTCTATTTATCTGGTTAGTACAGCTTAATTTCTGGTGAATGGTAATCCCCAGGATGTTGTCCATTTGGAATTCAGTGATGGTAATGCCATTGAATAACAAGGTCTGATGGTTAGATTCTCTCTTGTTTGTGGTGCGGATGTTACTTGCCACTTACCAGCCCGAGCCTGGTTGTTGACCAAATCTTTGGACATGGACTGCTTCTGTACCTGAATAATCTGCAGACGTACCCACTTCTAACCTTGTAGTAATGGGGCGGTCATTGATCAAGAGGTGAAAGACACTTGTGCCTCACTCACTGCCCTGAGGGACTTCTGCCGTGACATTCTGGCTGAGATGATTGACCCTCCAACAATCACAACCATTTTATATGGCTTCATCCAGTGCAGATTTTTATTCCTGGTTCCTTTTGAGTTTGGTTTTGCAAGATCTCTGCACACTGACTTGATATCAAAGACAGTCACTCTCACCTCACTTCTGAGGTTCAGCTCTTTTCTTCAAGCTTGGACCAAGGCTATAATGAGATCAGGAGCCAGATGGTACTAGCAGAACCCAAACTGAGCATTAGTGTGCAGGTTATTGTTGAGCAAATGCTGTTTGATCAATGATCCCTTCCATCACTTTGCTGATGATCAAGAGCAGACCGATAGGTCAGTAATTGGCTGGGTTTAGATTTTTCCTGTTTTTTGTGTACAGAACATACCAGGGCAATTTTCCACATTGTTGGGTAGATGCCAGGGTTATGACTGAACTAGAGGAGCTTGGCTAGGGGAGTGTCAAGTTCTGAATCACAAGTCTTCAATACTATTGCTGGAGCATTGTCAGGGTCTGTGGCCTGTGCCTTTGGCTGTGTTTTGATATCACTTAGCGTCAATCGAATTGACTGAAGACTGGCATCTGTGATGCTGGGATGTCAGGAGAAATATTCTTTCTAAGCTGCACAGGTTTGACATTCCAACGTGGGTCACAGCATCTACTTTGGGTCCTGGAAGTTGCTGCCATTCACAGACTGCTGAAGTCCGCAATAAAGAAAAGAATATTTAGACAGGATGTTGCTCAGGAGGAGGCCATCCACTTGGCAGCTTTGGCTGAAGGTGGATGCAAAAACCATCAGCCTCTTTGCCATGATGAGTATCAGTGAACAGGCTACTCCTTTTCAAGTGCCACTCGATAACATTTTCATTTAGTAACTCCTCCAAATAAAGAGAACAGTAACAATACTCAAATTTTGTTGACCTTCCCACCTCTACCTCTCAATAGTAAGTCATTGCAGTCCTACCAGACCATACAGCCATTCTCTTATTACAGAGAAAGAGACACGACTGGTGGTAATTTAACCTGAGGGTCACCACGTCTCGAGCAAGGGGAGAAGTTGAGAAGGAGAGTCCTTAATGGCAACCTCAGCTGATGTAGGAATGGAACCCACATTGTTGGCATCACTTTGAATTGCAAACCAACAGTCCAGTCAACTGAGCTAATCAATCCCTTTTAGTGATTTTTTTGAACCCCAGAGTCTCCCATTTGCATTGACAGCAAGTTCTTCACTTAAGATTGTAGTACTTCCATTGTGGCCACAGCTATTTTTGAATGAAGTACACATTAGATTTGATATCATCTGGTGCCTGCTGCCAAGAGATGAAAAGGTGTGAAAAAGGTGTAAAAAGAAATCGAGGCCAACTTTGGATTTGTGGTCAGTGGCAGGAGGTGATGCTGAAAATTCCTCAGAGCATAAGCAATGGCTTAGATCTAAGGATTCAAGAGTGCGAGCGGCACTGAGCTAGATAGAATAAAACACAGACCACGCAAGTAATTTTGAAAGCACAGACTAAGCAAAAGGAAAGAATGGGTCCAGACAGGATTCAAATCCACATAAATTATAGGGTACAGAAAAAAAACATTTATTTCTTCATGCCTGTGCTGACCTTTTGGAAGAACAATCAATTATTATCACTGAATTGTCCTTTCAAAATAGCCTGGCAACTCTTTTTCTCTTTTAAATATTTCTCCAATTCCCATTCCAATGTTACATTTTTCGCTTTTTCCAAATATGCTGCATCCCTTATTCACTTACAGAGTCATAGAGTCAAACAGCACAGCAACAGACACTTCGGTCCAATCGGCTTCATTAAAAACCTTTCTGGTTGTGAAACCGGTGAAATCTAGTACTTACTGGCTAGTACCACTGACCAATTTACAAAAAGAGTAAAAGTTAGAAAATTGATTTTCAGTGGCCAAAAGCAATTTGGAAGGATGCTTTATAAGTCATTTGTAAGCCCAGATACTGAGGACTGAAATGATTCCATCAAAAATCTAGACAGGTTAGTTATTTAATTAAATGAAACAGGACAAGAGTTTGGTCAGTGTAATATACTCATCCAAAACAGTGGAGGAATGAGGCAGTTAACTAACTGTCACTTCATACTGAACAAAAGCAAGTGATATACAAATACAAATCATTCAGTAAATATTAACGTAAACTTGCCAGCCTGCACTGAGACAAACAAGAAAAAGAGGGAAGTGGGAAAGAATCATTTTGTGCAGTGAGTGTTAATACCATCAAAATTGATGCCTGTGACGGTAGAAGTGGAGATGATTAGGGTACAGAGCGTGTGTGTTTGGATTTTAAATTGCCACGAGGGAAATAAATTTATAGGACACAGCGATAATGTGGGAATTGAGACTCAATGGATTGCTGGACAGGGAATTGCTATGGAGCCAATGGGCAGAATGGCCTCCTGTGCCATTATGATTCTATAGCAGGTTCACACTGGCACAAACTGGCTAATCAGTATAGTTAATATTTGACAGCTAAAAATTAAAAGATAGATCTCACTCTCGATGCTTTATTGGTGTTGAAAGGTCTCAATGGAACTCTCCACATTCAAGTCAGTTTGTGGGCCCTCGCTCCCTCTGCCCCAGATTGATATATTGTTCATATGCGAAATGACAATGATACCTTTATACCATCTGCCTCCTGCAACTCCTTTTCTGAATCTTCACCTTCCTATAAAGACAAGAATTGACAAGGTTAAAGAAATCACTTGAAGATGCAAGGTAGCTATCAGTGCAGTGCAGTGCAGAGCAACAAGCTCTTGCTTGAGATACACACAAGACAAAATCCAATTTCAGACAAAATCCCACCAAACATACTTTAGGTGCAACCTGCAAGGATCTCTGGCAATGGTAGGTTCAGTAACCACATGGAAATACAGTCACCCTGACTGTACAAGCCATATTCAAAACAGCCAAGAGGCGAAGTTTCCATGTTCTTCTGAAGGAGGTGACTCCATGTTATTTCAGGTTCTAAGTTACAATCCAGTACCTCAGTTAACTTGTCATTTTTCATACAAGTCTACATGAGAGGTTATGTAATTATCAGAGATAATTTACACAATGTCTTTACACAATGTCCATCTTCAAAAGGACTTGCTAGAGAGCACTTGTAAGAAGAACCAAAGCAGTTTTCCTCTCCATGTCTCTACCCCAAGAGGACAAATACTAATGTAGTATGGAATAGTTGCAGCATCTGAGCTCAGTTGACTGGAGGTTGGACCTGGGACGTCAGGAGTCATTTGGTTCAGCATTGCAGGTGCTTTATACACGAGTCATTCTCACAGCAGAACAGAATATTTTTAGCAGATTTATACTGTCCCCTCTGCCTCCTGGCACTCCTACATTTGACTTTCCTTTATCTTTTGCAAGAGACCACATCTTTTTATTTGTTTGTACAATGGGCTGTGAGAAAAAAAGACACTGCTTTAAAAAACAGTGAATACCAAAGATTTGTGTGCAGCTTGAAAAAACAAATGAAGATAACTGCCAAATATGAAATAAATTTGTTTTTGACGTGTGTGCGCATGTTCGAGGTAATTCTGCCCAGAGATACATTTTTGATTGGCTTTCCAATTGGCATTAGTTGCTGTGGGTTTAGGAGAGATCAGCTTAGGAACAACTTTCTGATTAGACAGGCTGCAGTGTAACACTAATTCAAAGAGAACAAAGAAAATTACAGCACAGGAACAGGCCCTTTGGCCCTCCAAGCCTGCAGCGACATGCTGCCCATCACAACTAAAACCCCCTATCCTTACAGGGACTGTATCCCTCTATTCCCATCCTATTCATGTATTTGTCAAGACGCCCTTTAAAAGTCACTATAGTATCTGCTTCCACTACCTCCCCCAGCAGCGAGTTCTAGGTACACACCACCCTCTGCCTAAAAAAAACTTGCCTCATACATCACCTTTAAACCTGCCCCTCGCACCTTAAACCTATGGCCCCTGGTAACTGACTCTTCCTCCCTGGGAAAAAGTTTCTGACTGTCCATGCCCTTCATAATCTTGTAGACCTCTATGAGGTCGCCCCTCAACCTCTGTCGTTCCAGTTAGAACCAAGTTTCTCCAACCACTCCTCATAGCTAATGCCCTCCAGACAAGGCAACATCCTGGTAAATCTTTTCCGTACCCTCTCCAAAGCCAACACATCCTTCTGGTAGTGTGGCGACCGGAATTGAACACAATATTCCAAATGCGGCCTAACTAAGGTTCTATAAAGCTGCAACATTATCTACCAACTTTTAAACTCAATGCCTCGGCGAATGAAGGCAAGCATGCCTTATGCCTTGTTAACTACCCTCTCCACCTGCATTGCCACTTTCAATGACCTATGTACCTGTACACCCAGATCCCTCTGCTTATCAGTTCTCTTAAGGGTTCTGCCATTTACTGTATATTTTCCATCTGGATTAGACTTTCCAAAATGCATTACCTCACATTTTTCTGGATTAAACTCCATCTGCCATCTCTCTGCCTAAGTCACCAACCGATCCATACCCAGCTGTATCCTTTGACGGTCCTCATCGCTATCCACAATTCCACCAACCTTTGTGTCATCGGCAAACTTACTAATCAGACCAGTTACATTTTCCTCCAAATCATTTATATATATTACAAACAGCAAAAGTCCCAACACTGATCCCTGAGGAACGCCACTAGTCACAGCCCTCCATTCAAAAATGCACCCTTCCACTGCTTCCCTCTGTCTTCTATGACCAAGCCAGATTTTTTTTAATCTATCTTGCAAGCTCACCTCTGACCCCGTGTGACTTTACCTTCTGTATCAGCCTGCCATGAGGGGCCTTGTCAAAGGCCTTACTGAAGTCCACTTAGACAACATCCACTGCCCTACCCTCATTGATCATCTTCATCACTTCCTCAACAAACTCAACTAAGTTAGTGAGACAAAACCTCCACTTCACAAAGCCATGCTGCCTCTCTCTAATATACCCACTGAGTTCCAAGGGGAGTAAATCCTGTCTTGAAGAATCCTCTCCAATAATGTTCCTACCACTGACGTAAGGCTCACTGGCCTGTAATTAGCTGGATTATCCTTGCCACCCTTCTTAAACAAAGGGACAAAATGGCTATTCTCCAATCCTCTGGGACCTCCCTGTAGCCAGTGAAGATACAAAGATTTCCCTCAAGGCTCCAGCAATTTCCTCCCTTGCCTCTCTCAGTATTCCGGGGTATGTCCCATCAGGCCCTGGGGACCTGTCTACCTTAATGTTTTTCAAGACCCCCATTACCTCCTCCCTTTTGATCTCAACATGACCCAAACTATCTACACACCCTTCCCTAGACTTACCATCCACCAAGTCCTTCTCTATGGTGAATACTGACGCAAAGTACTCATTTAATACCTCACCCATTTCCTCTGGTTCCACACTTAAATTCCCTTCCCTGTCTTTGAGTGGGCCAACCCTCTGTCTGGCTACCCTCTTGCTCTTTATATATGTATAAAAAGCCTTGGGATTTTCCTTAATCCTGTTGTCCAATGACTTTTCAGACCCCTTTTAGCCCTCCTGACTCCTCTATCCTCATAACTGAAGTTCCTCCTCACTCAAATCATTCCTATAAATCACTTCTGTGCACTCTCCAATGCATTTGCATCCTTCTTATAGTGTGACACCCAGAACTCTGCAAAATATTCCAGGTGAGGTCTAACATATATTTTGTACAAGTTCTTGCTCTTGTACTCAAAGCCCCTATTAATAAAGCTGATAACACTGTATATTTGATGAATTACGCTATCCACCTTTTCTGCTACCCTCAATAATCTATACACATATACACCCAAGTCACTCTGCTCCTGCATCCCCTATTTTATGTTGTTTTTCAACGTTCTTCCCCAATGTCTTCATACACTGTCTCTCAAAGTTTACAGTTCTTCCAGGTTTTGTGTCATCTGAACATCAAGATCTAGATTATTTATATATATCAGGGAAAACAAGGGTTCCAATACCAAAGCCTGGGGAACTCCATGGCAAACCTTACTCCAGCCTGAAAAATATTAGTGATCTCTGCTTTTGACCACTCAGCCAATTTTGTACACACATTGCTACAGCCTCTTTTATTCCAGGACCTATAATGTTCCTCACAAGTCTGTGCCAAACGCCTTCTAGAAGTCCACGTACACCACACTGAGAAGCGTTACCCTTTCTATTGACTCCGTTATGCCTTCAAAAAAATACTCTAACAAATTAGTCAGGCAATATTTCCCTTGAGAAATCCATGCCATCGCTTCCTAATCAACTAATTTCTTTTTCATGAACTACCAATTCAGTCCCAAATAATTGTTTCTAGAAGCTGCCAACCACTGAAGTTAAACTGACTGGAATTTCTAGGCTTATCCTTCAAGCCCTTCTTGGATAAGGCCATAATATTTGCAATTCTCAAGTCTTCTGGCACCACCCTGAATTGAGGCAAGACTTATATATTATGGTCAGTGCCCCTGCAATGTCCACTCTCACTTCTTTCAATATCCTTGGATACATCTGGTCCAGTCCTGGTGCCTTGTCAACTTTAAACACCAACAGTCTATGCAACACTTTTTCCAATCAATTGTGAACTCTTCTCAGTGACAGAATTTCCCACCATAGCCTGGGTAGCGTCGCCCTCTTTGGTAAAGATAGATGCAAAGTACTCATTTAATATCTCAGCCATGCTCTTGCCTTGATGTGGAAATCCCCTTTTTAATCTCTAATCAGTCCTATTCATCCTTTTGCCATTCTTTTACTATTTGTAGATTCATAGAAAACTTGATGTTGGCTGCCAGTCTTTTCTCATACTTTTTCTTTACTTCTCTTGTGTTTTTTTTCACCTCACCTTCTGTATTCCTTTCAGATCCCCATTGCATTATCAACCTGACACTTGTCACTAGCAGACTTTTACTTCTTTAGCTTAACTTCTCTCTCCTTGGACATTCTGAGAGCTCTGGATTTGCTTTGCCTACCTTTCCCATTTGAGGGAACATGCCTTGAATGTACGCAAATCATCTGCTCTTTGAAGGTTGTTCAGTTATTGTTTTTCCCATTACCCTCTCGTTCCAGATTATCCTGCCCAGCTCCAATCTTGCCACATTGATGTCGGCTCTCCACCAGTAAATTTTCTTAATCTGGATTGACTAATGTCATTCTCCACCATCATCCTAATCCTTACAACATAATGATCACTGTCTCCTTGATGTTCCTCTGCCAACTTTTGATCCACTTGGCCCATCTCGTTTCCAAGAACCAGGTCCAACAGTGCCTCATTTCTTGATGGACTGCACACATATTGTTGTAGGAAACTCTTGAATGCAACCTAGGAACATTTGCCTCTCACTGCCCCTTACACTACTAGCTTACCAGTCTATGTGTAAGTAATTAAAGTCCCCTACTATAATTACACTATAATTTGTTGGCAAATGTGTTCCTCTATGCCCTTCCCAATAGTTGTTAGTTTATAGATTACTGTTATCAATATAATTATATACTTTTTGTTTCTTAGGTCGAGCCAAAGTGATTCTATCGTTGAAACCTCTGAGACATCCTCATTTGCCAGAATTGCATTGCGTTCCTTAACCAATACAGAGACAGACGGATTCTTGACCAGGATGGGAATCAAGAGTTACAGCAAAGGCAGGAAAGCGGATGCGAGGAATGTCAGATTAATATGATTGCACTGAATGGCGGAGCACACTCGAGGGGCTATTTCTTGTGGTCTCGTGGTCTTAATAATGCCACCCCTCCTCCTTTCCTTCCATTTCTGTCCTGGGTCAAAACAAGTAAGCAGTTAACCAAAGACTGATCATTGTTGTGCAGATACCACGTCAGGTATCATCGAAGTTCCATGATCCTTATCCTTTCTAAGTTAGTAAGTTTTGCAGTTTTGGACTGGTGATACAGAACTGTGTCTCCCTGACTCCACACCCCTCCTGCTTCACTCATATTATTTGCATTTGTCTATTTTTCTTTGTGTGCACATCTGTATTTTACAATGGGGGAAAGTTCAAGTTATATAAATTAAAAATTCTATTCTTTTACTGCCCTTGTCAATGTTAAGCATTTTACAATAAATGGCTTTTTTAAAATAGATACCAAAGAAGCCTGATGTGGTTTGCTTTTATCCCAGGTCACAGACAGTCAGAGGTAAATTGAAATTCCTGGTAGTTTCATTGAACCTTCATATTTGGTGTGACTCCAGCAATAGTGAGGCTGGATTCTTAGCACTCTACCCCAGTGGGTTGTGACAATTTGTGTATCAAAGAATTGAGAAATGCTATTCAGCATAAAAAGAAGTGATGGGTGACTCAAACCAACTTTATACCAGTTAATCTGAAGGGTTTATTCTTCAATATAAAAGAGAGCTAATAAATCTGTGAATCTAGATCAAGTTCAAGTTCAGTAGGTCCTGAACGACAATTATCATTTGTTCCTTGCATTGTATTCCACCTTGCATATAAACACTCAACTTAAATTACTTAATAAATACTTCCATTCGCAGTCTCACTATTTCCAGAGAACTCTTTTCCATCCAGTTCTGCCAGCCATGACACCAGATGCTTTCTCAGCTAGTCTCAGTTAAACTCAGCACACCTGCTGCATCCTCTTTCAATAAATCAAACTGGCTGCATTGAACGAGGGCACACAGCAACATTTCATGGCACTCAGCGCTGATCCTGATCCTGGGATGGGGGGGGGTTGGGGGGAGGGAGCATACAAGGAAACATTTACGGGAAGTTTTTGTCACTTGTCACTCACCAGTGGACTGCTGCTCTCGTCATCCTCCTCCAGCTCACCTGCCTCTTCCATTCTGCTGATATCATCATCGCCATATCCAGCAGAGACAAGTCCTCCTTTCGTACCTTACATAGAGAATGGAGTAGAAAAATAATACTTGTCCCCACCAGTACTGTATCCCAGTGCTAAACCGTGACAGACCTGTCCCCAACAGTACCCTGTACCTTAGTGCTATACAGTGGTGGACAAGAAAGACTAGGGCCTATTAGGGACCAAGGGGGTAATATGTGCGAGAAGATGGAGGACACTGGTAGAGTGTTAAACAAGTGCTTTCCATCTATTCTTACTCAGGAGGAGAATGCACGTGCAGAGAAGAAGAACTGTGAAATTCTTGAGCAGATTGATATAAGAAACATGGAAGTATTGGAGGTTTTGGAGTGGACAAATACCCAGGTCCAGAAAAGTTGTATCCCAGGCTGCTGTGGGAGACAAGCGAGGAAATAACAGGGGCCTGACCCAAATTTTAAATTGCCTTTGACCACAGGGGAGGTGTTAAAGGACTGGAGGACAGCTAATGTAGTTGCACTTTACATAAAGGGTGGTAGAGATAGAGCAGGGAACTATAGATCAGTGAATCTACACAAATGGCAGGAAAACTACTGGAAAAAAAAATAGTGAAGGAAAAGGTTAACTTCCATTTAAAGAAACAAGGCTTGATCAGGGATATTTAGCATGGTTTTGTCAGAAGGAGTTCATGACCAACAAATTTAGTGAAAATTTTCGAGGTGGTGACCAAGTGATAAGGGTAGGGCAGTTAATGTAGTTTCTATGGATTTCAGCAAGGCCTTTGACAAAATCCCATATGGATAACTGATGAAGAAAGTTAAAGCTCATGGGATCTAGGTTAACTTGGCAAGTTGGATCCACAACTGGCTTAGTGATAGGGAACAGAGGGTGATGGTAGAAGGCTGTGTGACTGGAGCTTGGTGTGCAGTAGCATACCACAGGGATCTGTGCTGGTTCCCTTATTGTTTTTGAAGTCATAAGCGATGTAGTTGAGAATGTGGGAGAGATGATTAGTAAGTCTGTGGATGACACAAAACTTGGCTGGCTGACTGACAGCGAGGAGAAGGGTCCTGGATCACAAGAAGATATAGACAAATGGTCAGATGAGCAGACCTAAGGCGGATGGAATATAACCCTGATTAATGTGAGGTGGTGCACTTTGGAAGATGGAACAAGACAAGGGAGTACTAAATAAATGGCAGGACACCAGGAAGCTCAGAGGAACAGAGGGATCTTGGGGTGCTTTTGCAGAATTGGCAGGAGAGGTTAAGCAGGTAGTTAAGGAAGCAAATGGGATGCTTACTTTTATCAGTCCTGGCATAGGTTATAAGTACAGTAAGGTTATCTAAGAGCTGTACAGAACTTTGGTTAAGCCACAGCTAGAGTACTGTATGCAGTTCTGGTCACGTTATTGTACTGGAGTGAGTGCAGAGGAAACTGACTAGAATGTAGCCTGGGAAGGAGCATTTCAGCAAAGAAGAAAGGCAGGATAAACTTATACTGTGTTTTTGGATCTGAGAAGGTTGAGAAAGGGAGTCAAGATTATGAGAGGCATGGACAGAGTGACTGGAAAGCAGCTGTTCCCCTCAGTCAAACGGTCAGGAACAAGAGGGCACACTTTTAAACTGAAAGGCAGAAGGGTTAGAGAGGATTTGAGGAAAAACATTTTCATCCACAGGGTGGTGGGAGTCTGTAATGCACTGCCTGTGAGGATAGTTGAGGCAGGTAAACTCCAAGTTTGAAAAGTACTGGATGAACACTTGAAGTGTCATAGCATTCAAGGCTATGGGCCCGGTGTGGGAAAGTGTGACTACTATAGGTAATAGTGTATATTTGTTGATATAGACTCAATGGGACCAAAGTGCCTCTACCAGTCCACAGGAACACGGTACCTAAGTGTTAAATGGTGAAAGATATGTTCACACCAGTTCTGTGGCCTAGTGTTCCACTGTGACAGACTCACCATCAATGGACCCCAATAATGACATTGACAGACATGTCCCCATGAGTACTGTACCCCAGTGTTATACAGTAACAGACCTGTCCCCACCAGTACTGCACTTCATTGTTACACAGTAATAGATCTGTCCCCACCAGTACTGCACCCCAGCTTTATACAGTGACAGACCTGTTCCGACCAGTACTGCAGGCTAGTGTTACACAGTGACAGACCTTTCTACATTACTGTACCTATGTTACAGAGTGACAAGTGTATCCCCACCAGCACTATATCCCAGTGTTATACAGTGACAGTGACTGATGTGCCTCAACCAACACTGTACGCGAATTCTGCTCCAAGGATCACCACCTTGTTGTGGTGGAGAGGCTTGTGCGTAGCTAGGAACCTGAGAGCTAAACCATCTGGAGCATAGCTCCTGGCAGGGTCACCCACGACAGTAAGGTCAAGGGGAAGTTCAAGACCAAGCGTGACCCTTGAAGACCTCAATGGCGGAGCAGGCGGAGGACGATAGCTGAACTTAAGTTAGAGCATCACAATGGTTGCAAACGGGAATGAAGGCTGCAACAGAGAATGGCTGCCAGACATCTTGGTCTCCATGCCACTGGGCTTTGACCCCCTAATGCCAAGGTCCATGTGCTGGCTGTCCGTGCACCTGTCTCCCCACATCAAAAGTCAGGCATCCTTCCAAGAGGTACCAGTCCCTACTTACATCCTGGACAAAAACCCTATGGCAATCAGCTTGTGGCAGAGGGAGCAGGACTGTGATATTTGGAAGCTCCTGGTCAAGAACGGACACATCAGGCAATGGGTGTCAGATTCAGTCGTCTTGTTCCTGGACGAGGCAGACAGAACATTTTGGCAGTTGTGCTCACGATTTAACCACCCTGTTTAGGATCCGCTCTGCTCACCCAAGTTGGGAAGGGGTGTGGAAAAGGTACCCTGAAATTAGCCTACCGCAAAACTCCTGACTAGATTACCACATCCAGAGGGATCACCGAAGCGTGGTCAGAAACAAAGAGTAATAGACTTTGGAGCCTGGAATGTAAGAATCTTGATGGACACAGCCAATAGTGACCAACCTTAGAGAATAACTGCAATCATAGCCAGAGAACTGAAGAGGAGCCAGATCAACCTAGCTGCTCTTTCCAAAACAAAGGGGAACTGAAGGAGATGAAAGGTGGTTACACCTTCTTCTGTAAAGGGAAGGCTGATGAGCCCCAGAATTCACAGTGTTGAATTCACAATTAAGACCAGCTCATTAGTTGCCTCTCTGAACTTCTGTTGTCAAGCATCCCCAAGGAGGACTAGATCATTCTTCTTGGAGATTTCAATGCCGGGTTTGATCAAGATTACAGCCTTTGGAATGGCAACATAGGATGGGAAGGTATTGGAAACGTCAACTCCAATGTGGGTCCTTCTTCTCACAAAACATGCGGAGTACAACCTCACCATCACAAACACACACTTCCATCAGATAAACAAATTCAAATCTTGGAGGCATCCATGCTCGAAACAATAGCGTCTTATTGATTATATCATTGTTCTCTCCAGGGATTATCGAGATGTGACTGTCGCCAGAGTTATGATTGGCTCAGGTGATTGCTGGGCTGATCACCTTATCTACTTCACAATGTCCATCAGACTACACAGAAAGACGAGGGTTCAGAAGGAGGAGACCTGGCCAAGATTCAACATTAACAGTCTGGGTGACACGGTCATTACGTGACATCTACAGACCTCACTTGCTAAAATCCTACCTTGGGAATTCCCAGAGGTCATAGGAGAACACTGGAGTCTGCTTAAATCAACCATTCTCAGTACCTGCAATCACACCCTTGGGTACAAGTCCAGAAACCATCCAGATTAATTCAATGAGAATGATGTGGAAATTGAACTGCTCATCTCCAACAAAAGGACAGCCTTCTGTAACTGGCAGAATGACATCACAGCAAGGCCTAAAAAAGGACCTATGCCAAAGTTAAGGCTGATATCCAAAAAAGGGTAAGGAAGCTCAAAAACAAATGGAGGACTGATAAGGCACGGAAATCCAGCAGCTGGCAGATGCCGGTAACACAAAAGGCTTCTTCAGTGACACCAAGGTGATATATGCTCCAAAATACCATGGTCTAAAACCTCTGTGCTCTAAAGACAGACAAAAACTGCTCAGGGACAACAAGGTAATAAACACCCACCGGAGGCAGCATTTCTAAGAACTCCTTAACAGTAACACAAATGTTAACTTGGAAATCATTAACCAAATCCCCCAGAGATGCATTCAAGATGATATGGGAGAACCTCCCGGTATGACTAAGGTACAAGATGCCATAAGGAGCCTAAGAAAGAACAAGGTTGCTGGTCCTGATGGGATTCTTGCAGAGATCCTAAAGGAGGGTGGCCCAAAGCTCCATGAACACATACATGCTTTGCTCTTGAAGGTTTGGCTCAAAGAAGAACTCCCCTCAGAGCTCATAGATGCTTAGATTGTGACCAGATACAAAAAGGATGACAAGGCTGAATTACAGGCATCTCCCTTCCATCAATCATTGGCAAGTACTTGCACATATCCTTACCAATAGACTTCTGTCATTATTTGAGGAAATACTCCCTGAATTGCAGTTTGGCTACTGCATGTCCAGAGGAACAACAGACATGATCTTTACAGCATGTCCATTACAAGAAAACTGTCAGGAACAGAAATAATCACTTTACATGGCCTTCATCGGCCTAAGTAAGGCCTTTGGCACAGTTAACCGCCAGGGTCTCTGGTGGATAATGTCATGAGGCTGTCCTGATAAGGTCATCGGGATGCTGAGGCTGCTGCATGATGACATGTCTGAGACAATGCTTAGCAACTGCGCATTGGAGACTGAGCCTTTCACCATGGAGACAGAGGTCAAGTAGGGCTGCATCATCACACTCACTTTGTTCACCATTGCCTCCATGTTCCATCTCTCTGGTCAAAACCTGCCCAGGTGAATTCAAATCATTTACCGTATGGACAGCAGGCTGTTTAACCATAATAAATTCAAAGCCAAGGGCAATGTCTCCAGCACCTCCTTCTTGGAGCATCAATATGCTGATGACAATGCCATTGCAGCACACTCTGCAGAAGATCTACAGTACCTCTTGGATGGCTTTGCCAAGGTATATAAGCTCCTTGGCCTTACCCTTAACACAAAAAAAGACTATAGTACTCCATCAACCACCACCCAACAATCCCTCCTCCCCTCCCACAATAAGGGTCAAGAACCATCACCTTCAAAATGTGGATCTATTTTCATATCTTGGCAGACTTCTCTCCTCCAAGACCAACATAGATGCAGAAATACAATACTATCTGAGCTGTGCCAGTGGAGTCGAAGCCCAATTCACAAGAGTGTTTGAAGACCGTGACCCACAGGCCCAGACTAAACTTCTAGTCTACAAAACTGTTATCCTTCTCACACTACTATATGGAGCTGAAACATGGACTACCTAGAGTAGCCCCTGAAAGCATTGGAACAACACCACCAGAGATCCTTACGAAAAATCCTGCAGACCACCTGGGAAGACAAGCACACTAACACCAACATCTTGGAGGCGGTCAACACAGCCAGCATCACCACCTCTATAACTTAACAGGAACTCCAATGGACTAGCCGTGTCATCTAAATGCCCAACTCACATTTCCCAAACAGATCATGTAACGTCCAGCTGAAGGAAGGTCAGTGTGCCCCCAGTGGCCAAAGGAAATTCTTCAAAGATAACATCCAGACCAATCTCAAGAACTTCCATATCAACATCAACAACTGGGAAGATATGGCTACAAACCGGAATCACTGGAGAAACATCATCCAGCAGGGTGCTATATGCCATGAAAATGATCTCCGCTGTGCCACTGAACAGAAGCGACTCTTGTGCAAGGACAGACAAAACATCAGGAAGGCCCACCCATCACCACTTCCAACCACCCTTACCACTCACCAATGCTCATAATGCAATAGAATCTGTGGATCCTGGATTGACCTCTTGAGCCAGCTGAAGACCCACAAATGGGCACCCTTATGGTGGACAATCATACTTGACCTGAGTGATCGCCGATACCTTCATGTTATACTAGCAGATGTGTCCCCACCAGTACTGTATCCCTGTGTTATACTACAATAGACACGTCAACACCTGCACTGTACCCAAGTGTTATACAGTGACAGACCTGTCCCCACTAGTACTGGAAGACATTGATAGGCCTGTACAATCCCGTAGACAATATTTACAGACAAGGGTTTTGTACATCTTAATTACTCAGCCTAGCTCTAGTGCGAAAGGACAGTGTGTTGTCAGGTCCTACCTGTCTCGGTGTCGGTTTCAGAGTCCGAGTCGCCGGCATAAGCCATTAACGTGCGGAGAACATTTCTCTTGTCCGCCATTTTGGGGCGCCGTGTGATGACGTCGACGGATGATGTTCTGCGCACGCGCGGTACCCGTTAGTGGCCGCGATGACAACATTGACACTGCGCGGTGACGTCACAGCCCTGAAGTCAAGGCATTCCCATGGCTTCCTGTTCCCGCGACCCTGTCCGTGAAATCCTCGGCCGGAGCTTCGGCTTTCAGTCTTTTCGCTCTCAGCGACAGGAGAGCGCGGCTAGGGCCGTTTTGAGAGGTAACAGACCATCCTGTGGGCACCCAATTGGGTAGGGCCGGCCGAAATACAGGCGAACAGGGCAAGAGGGCTGACTGGTTCTGTATGACATTGGGCTACATTACTGGCGGGGTCAGGTCTGTCACTGTATAACACTGGGGTACAGTACTAGTGGGGGTCAGGTTTGTCGCTGTATAACACTGGGCTACAGTACTAGTGGGGGTCAGGTCTGTCATTGTATAACACTGAGGTACAGCACTGGTGGGTACGGGTCTGTCACTGTGAAACACTAGGGTACAGTACTAGTGGGGTCAGGTCTGTCACTGTATAACACTGGGGTACAGTACTAGTGGGGATAGGTCTGTCACGGTATAACACTGGGGTACAGTACTAGTGGGGACAGAGATAGTAGGAACTGCAGATGCTGGAAAATCTGAGATAACAAGGTGTAGAGCTGGATGAACACAGCAGGCCAAGCAGCATCACAGGAGCAGGAAGGCTGACGTTTTGGGCCCAGACCCTTCATCAGATTTGTCACTGTTTGTCACTGTGTAACACTGGGGTACTCTACTGGTGCGGACAGGTCTGTCACTGTATAATGGTGGGGTACAGTATGGTATTGGGACAGGTCTTACTGTATAACAGTGGTGTACAGTTCTGGTAGGAACAGATCTGTCACTGTATAAGAATGGGCAACATGTCTGTCACTGAATAATGGTGCAGTACTGGTGGGAATAGATTTGTTACTGTATAATGGTGGGGTGCAGTACTGGTAGGAACAAGTCTGTTACTGTATAACAATCGGCTACAGTGCTGGTTGGGCAGATCTGTCACTGTATAACATTTGGATACAGTATTGGTGGGAATAGGTTTGTCACCGTGTAACATGGGTACTGTATTGATGGGCACAGGCTGGTCACTATAACACAGCAATAATCCTGGTGGGGACAGGGCTGTCACTGTATAACACTGAGAAGCTTTTTTTGTAGACCTGTCAATTTATCACACTACGTTACATGACTGATGTTCATGACCTTATAATGGGAGCATTTGTGAAATATTTTGGTGTTAATATGGATTTTTATACCCTTCCATTCTGCATTGCTGTCTCATGATCTACCTCATCTATTCTCCTCTTTGTCAAACATGCTTTGAGAGTTTATGCACTTATTCAACAAGGATCTATGTTGAAACATTCTGTGTACTGTGTGCAAAATCATTAAAGAATTTCTGTTTCTTAAAAACTGTTCTCATGCTTTCAGTGGAAAGAATATCTTAGCAATTTCAAATACCACTTTCACTTTTCTGCAGTTCCAGTGAAAACACCTTATTGTCTCAAAGTTTCTGCTTTTTTTGTTTCGTACCATTCCTTTTTCTGCAATGGATAGCCAAAACTGTAGACCGAGCTCTAAGTGCCGTGTAACTAAAATCATGTACAAGTTTGAGTTGACCAATTTGATATTTCTCCGCACACAGGTACAATAATCAGTGCTTCTGTTTGCCATTTTATAGGCTATTTGTTTGCACTGCCTCTGCTAATCACCCATGTAACTGCTCGCATTGTCCATGTGCTTCATTGTAAAACCTTTACTTTGAAAAAAATTCTTTACTTGCCCGTTATCCAGTGTGGAGCTGGAAGAACACAGGAGGCCAGGCAGCATCAGAGGAGTAGGAAAGCTGACGTTTTGGGTCGGCACCCTTCTTCAGAAATGAGCCCATTTCTGAAGAAGGGTCCCAACCCGAAACATCAGCTTTCCTGCTCCTCTGATGCTGCCTGGCCTGCTGTGTTCTTGCAGCTCCACACTGTGTTATCTCTGACTCCAGCATCTGCAGTTCTTACTATCTCTTTACTTGTCCATTCCCTTTATTCAAATTTCTGAATATTTTTCTTAACTCATTTTTGAAAGTTACACTGTACATGCTTATCCTGGCAGACTAGCTGTATCCCTGAAGTTCTTTGTGATTCTCAGCACAGATCTCTTTATTTGTTGTCTAGACCAATATCAATGTTCTTTCGTTTCATCTTTCACTTCTTGATAAGTAAGACCAAGCTAAATACAGACCTGTGGAACACCGTTCCCTGTAGGTTTCTAGGCAAGCAGTGTCCTTGCATTTTTGCTTTTGCTCTCTAGCCATTCCTGCGCCCCTTTGTGCACTTTCCACTCAATGTAGAGATAGGATTTATGTGCATTTGGAAAAGCACAACCTAATTAGGGATAGTCAGCATGGCTTTCTGTGGGGCCGGTCGTGTCTTACTAACTGGATTGAATTTTTCAAGGAGGTGGCAAAGGTGCTCGATGAGGATGTTGTCCGCGTGGATTTTAATAAGGCTTTCGACAAGGTCCTTCATGGTAGGGTCATCCAGAAGATTAAGATGCATGGAATCCATGGTGACTTGGCTGCTTGGATTCAGTATTGGCTTGCTCATAGAAGGCAGAAGCTAGTGGTGGAAGGCTGTTTTTCTGGCTGGAGGACTGCGATTAGTGGTGTCCTGCAGGGATCCGTATGCTGTTTGTGATGTATATAAATGTAGATGGGTGGGTTAGTAAGTTTGCAGATAATACAAAGATCAGTGGACTTGTGGATAGTGTAGAAGGTTGTCAAAGGATACAGTGGGATTCAGATCAGTTGCAGATATGGGCGGAGAAGGGGCAGATGGAGTTTAGTTGGGGTAAGTGTGCTGCTCTTTGGGAGATCAAATGTTGAGGAAAAAGTATACAGTTAATGGCGGGACATTGAACAAAGGGATCTTGGGTTCAAGTCCATAACTCCCTGAAAGCGGCCACGCAAGTAGATAGACTGGTAAAGAAGGCATATGGCATTATTACCTTTACTGGTCGGGGAATTGAATACAAGAGTTAGCATGTCATGTTGCAGTTTTATAAGATTTTGGTTAGGCCATGCTTATAGTATTGTGTTCAACCCTGGTCAGCACATTGCAGGAAGGATGTGGAGGCTTTGGACAGGGTGCAGGAGAGGTTCACCAGGATGCTGCCTGGACTAGAGGGTATGGGCTATAAGGAGGGGCTAGAGAAACTTGGGTTTTTTTCTCTGACGCAGCAGAGGCTGAGGGGAGACTTGTTAGAAGTCTGTAAAATTATGAGATGCACAGATAGGATTGATGGTCAGAATCTTTTTTCCCCAGAGTTGAAATGTCTGAATCTAGGGTGCCTGCATTTAAGGTGAGAGGAGAAAAGTTCAAAGGAGATATGAAGGGCAGGTTTTTTTGCATAGAGTGTGGTAGGAGTGTGGAACGCGTTGCCAGAGGTGACTGTGAAGGCAGATGTGATAGGGGTGTTTAAGGAACTTTTAGATAAGCACATGAATTTGCAATGAATGGAGGGATATGGACCAAGGACAGGCAGAAGGAGTTAGTTTAATTTGGTGTCATGTTTGGCACAACATTGTGGGCTGAAGGGCCAGTTCCTGTGCTGTACTGTTCTACATTCTGAGTGTAAACATCTTTACCAGTAATAGTTAATGTTACTTTAAAAATAATGTGTTATCCTTGTGCAAGGAATTTCTTCAAGATGACTACAGGTCAGAAACCCAAAGTGCTGTGAACATTTGTAATCTATAATTCCAAAATATGTATTTTAAAAAAGAGGACTGATACAGCTAGAAATAGCTGTGGATGTAAATTGATTGGCTTTCTAAAGAAAGAGAGACTCCCATGAATGTTGCAACTACAGATGTAAAGGGAACTTCAAACAACAGCCTTTAGAAGGAGGGGGCAAGAAGCAAGTCAACATAGATCTCTCGTGACTACAAATGTAACAAGGGCTGACAATAGCCTCCTGAACAGCAAACCATTATTTCCCAAACTGCAGATATGTTTTGTGTTTTCCGTTTGGAGAATACTCAAGGACAAAGATTTAAAGCCAGTTTCAACTTTACCGGAGTATGCTTGTGAGTCTGAACATTCTTGGGTATACCAACCCAGGTTTGATCTTTAACGTACTGTGCAGGGAGGGTCGGGTCGCTCAGTTGGCTGGACAGCTGATTTGTGATGCAGTGTGATGCCAACAGCAGGGGTTCAATTCTGTTACCAGCTGAGGTGACATGAAGGTCTGACCACCTCAACCTTGCCCCTCACCTGAAGAGTGTGATCCTCAGGTTAAACCCAGCAACACTGGTCTTTGTCTATTGAGAGAGCAGCTTTATGTCCTTTGGGACGATGGCGACTTTACCTTTACTGTGAAGCTCACAGACAAAGAACTAGCTCCTAGTTACACATGTGTTGCAGGTGAAAACTCTGTAAATTAACTAGCTACCAACCAGACAGAAGGAAACAAGACAACAAAAGGGCTCCCTGAGATCCTAAATGTTGGAATTCAGTCACTGTTCAAAGGATTAGAACAACAGAATCTCAACCAATCTGCAAAACTAAAAATTGTGGAAACCAAACGCTCAATGACCAATATCAATGTACTAGTAACTTCAAATGCAACAGTCGCTACGTTTAACTATCCATTCTTCACCATTAACTAAGAGACTGATTTGTTTTTTTTCAAACTTCTTACTCACTTCTTATTTCTAATGTGTGTATATGTGGTGTTACTAATTCTTCTCGTGTTAATAAAGGCTGTCTTCTTGTTAATTCAAGAAAGGCTGGCTAAATTGGGCATTTTTTTAAAAGCATAAATTCATTTAGAATCATAGAGATATACAGCACGGAAATATACCCCTTGGTCCAACTTGTCCAAGCCAACCAGATATAAATCTAGTCCCATTTGCCAATATTTGGCCGATATTCCTCTAAACCCTTACAATCTAGCTGTGCGAGACCCCTTGGGAATGAGCGACCATAACATGATGGAACTTTTTAATCAAGATAGAGAGTGAGGTAGTTGATTTGGAGACTAGGATGCTCAATCTTAATAAAGGAAACTATGAAGATATGAGGCATGAGTTGGCCTAGATAGATTGGGGAGAGTTACTTAAAGGGATGACAGAGAATAGACAATGGCAAACATTAAAGGAAAGCATGGGGGAACTGCAACAACTGTTTATTCCCGTCT